TGCTAACATGAGTAAAAGAGCCAAACCCCATCTCTATACGATGTTTTGATGCAGAGATATAGGTCTTGAAAAACGGTTGCTAGGGTACTCTGTTTGGTTGCTAGGGAGTGGCTTGGCAGCTGCCAATCATGAAGCTCCAAAGTCAATGTGAATGTTTAAACCAACCCCCATCTCTATACGATGTTTTGATGCAGAGATATAGGTCTTGCAAAACGGTTGCTAGGGTACTCTGTTTGGTTGCTAGGGAGTGGCTTGGCAGCTTCCAATCATGAAGCTCCAAAGTCAATGTGAATGTATAAACCAACCCCCATCTCTATACGATGTTCTGATGCAGAGATGTAGGCCTTGCAAAATGGTTGCTAGGGTACTCTTTTTGGTTGCTAGGGAGTGGCTTGGCAGCTGCCAATCATGAATCTCCAAAGGCTGCTTGTCAGTATAATTGATATAATACAACTCCCAAGCCTGTATGACATTCACAATGGAAGATATCCCTCTTTAAAATTTGGTTGCTAAGGTGCTCGATAATGGTTGCTAGGGTGTGGCCAGAAATTGTTGAGGTGATTCATGATTGGCTGTTTGCTACCCCGAGTCAAACGAGACCACCCTTGTGTTTCTATGACACTTCTATCCGGAGATATCCCTTTGATCTCTTTCAATGGAAGTCTATGGGAGTTGTTGCTAAGGTGCTCTATATGGTTGCTAGGGCGTGGCTTGATAGCATTACAATGATGCTGAGAGACTGATTGGTCGTCTGAGTAAAATGAGCCCGCCCCCTTGTCTCTATGACACTGTGATCCAGAGCTATGTTCAATACAAAATCCCTATGCAATTTACCATAGTAGGAAAAACACTAAAAGTCTATGGGACTTTTTTACCCAATGATTTGCCCCTGGGGCGAACACCGTACCCCCGATCGCTACGAAAAGTCACAGCACACCTCTCCTCAATAATCCGCAAAATTTGACGCCTCAATCAGGGGTCTGTGATGTCGGCGTGTATTTTTTAACAGATGATTACTATTTAGTCTCTAAAATTAGTTTTTATAGAGTTTTTATAGAGTTATTTAGTATGGCACGAGGCCTGCGGCCTCGTGCCTATCGCCCACGGTTGCTGGGTGCTGTAACTGGTTGCTATGGTGTGACCATGAAGATTTTAGGCCATTATTTATTGGTTGCCTGATAAAATAAAATCCTCCTAGGGAGAGAGAGACGTCTGCCTGACAGCAGGGCTGTCAGGCCCTTTTGTGTCTGTGAGAAAAGTGACAGTTGGGATTTGAATTTTGAAAATCCCCCAATGTTTAGTCAAAATCGCTGATACTTGGCCTCGAACAAACCTCCCTAGAGACAAAACTATAGGTTGTATCAGCAAAATGACCTGACCGTTAGCGAGACAAGGCCTTTGTGATCGCTGTGATGTATTTTTTGTGTGGATAGAGTTGAAAAAAGGGACCACTTTGGCAAGTTAAAAAACTGGTCCGTAATGCTCTGATTACTAAAGTTTGACCTGAATTTATAATTGCTGCCTATGGAGGACTGTCTGTCACTCCTGTCGTTTGGAAGGACACAGAGAAAAAACTATAAGTCCGAGGGATTTACTAAACACACGAGAGGAACCACAACAAAAATACCTACGTTTTAAGTATAATTTCATGGCCAAAGAGTGAAGATTGTGGCCAGGCCAGCGATTTAAAAATTATTTTTTAGCATTAGTTTTCAAGCTGGCTCACTCTAGCTTATGACATCACGTGCTCTAGCTCTGAACAGTCTCTCTCATTCACTCCCATTATAATTTCAGAAACGGCTTGAAAAACATCATGAGACTAAAGTAGAGATTGTGAAAAAAGTATAATAGATATCAAAAAGTTGAATACAACATTAATAGCTGACAAATTTCTCAACATTTTAAAGTTTTAATGGCTGAAATAGCTGTCAAAATAGGGCTGTCAGGCCCCTTTTTGTGTCTGTGAGAAAGTGACAGTTGGGATTAGAATTTTTGAAAATTCCCATAGGAAATGACTTGGGACATTTTTGGCCGCTTTTTTCGTCGCTGTGCGAACATCGTACACCCGATCTCTTAGAAAAGTCATAGCACACCATTCCCGAAACAAGCCGCACGTTTTGACACCTCTCTTTATGGGTCTGTGACAAAAGCTGCGGGAGGAGTAGCGCGCCGAAATTGTACGAATAAGAAGAAGAAGTAGAGGAAAAAAACTAGAATGTACATTTCCAGAGGAAAATGTGAAGTGTGCTTGCAGTGGCAAAACTCACCACCCGGTTGCTTAGAGTGTGGTACATGATTGCATACGAGACACCAAACATGTCTGTACAATGTTTGTGTGATGAGAAATGGCTTATTCAGCGGAGAAATGGCTTATTCATGTGTTCAGGTGGTTACTAGGGTACTCTATATGGTTGCTATGTGTGATTATACAGTGTATGAGATTATATTTTAAACACTAGTTGACAGAAGGCAAACCCCATCTCTATACGATGTTTTGTTGCAGAGATGTAGGTCTTACAAAATGGTTGCTAGGGTACTCTGTTTGGTTGCTAGGGAGTGGCTTGGTAGTGCCAATCATGAAACTCCAAAGGCTGCTTGTCAGTATGAATGATATAAACCAACTTCCATGCCTCCTATGACATTCAGAATGGAAGATATCCCTCTTTGGATTTTGGTTGCTAAGGTGCTCGATAATGGTTGCTAGGGCATGGCCAGAAATTGTTGAGGTGATTCATGATTGGCTGTTTGCTGGCCCAAGTCAAACGAGCCCACCTCATGTTTCTATGACACTTTATCCTGAGATATCCATTTGATCTCTTTCAATGGAAGTCTATGGGAGTTGTTGCTAAGGTGCTCTAAATGGTTGCTGGGGCGTGGCTTAATAGCTTCACAATGATCCTGAGAGACTGATTGGTCGTCTGAGTAAAATGAGCCCGCCCCCTTGTCTCTATGACACTGTGATCCAGAGCTATGTTCAATACAAAATCCCTATGCAATTTACCATAGTAGGAAAAACACATGCATTTGATGGGACGTCCCTCACCATAGTAAGTCAATGGGGA